AGATGTGGTTAGCAAAATACCTCACAGAGCTACATAATTAATGCATAGATGTGCTACCTTGGGTTCACTGCTACACTGACTTGGCCCATGACTTCTGGCTGTCTCAAAGTGTCTGTCAATCTGTTGTGCAGATAGACAAGCTGCGCACTGTTACATAGCTTCCAGAATCTGGCCCTTAGCTGAAGGAACACGCAACTTCTCTCAGGCCAGTGAAGCAGTGCTTGCTGGCAGGTGTAGAGAATCCACTTTCACTAAGCCGCCATACACAGATCAAAAGCAGGATGATTTTTTTAAAGGAGAAAAGACTTTTTGGAATTTGAGTCTATAGTTTTTCTTGTCCAGGAGCCAGCACTGAAGAAATGAAGCACAGGAAGACTGCCTCAAAACAGCAAATGGCCTTTTCTAAAGGTGTGCAAAGTGTTTAAAAGAAAGTAACAATTTACACTCTAAGCAAATATGCAACAAAACATTGGCTTTGCCTTATCTTCTATTTCAGCAATAAGAAAATTTCTTTATAGGCTGTGAACTTATATCTGTCTTTCATTATATGATTGCACAAAGGCTGGCACAAAGAGGCTCCGATCCCCACTGACAAATAGTAAATAAATTAAAAAAAAAATTTACAAGAGATTAACAGGATGTGCAAAGCTATGTACTGTTGCTACTTTTGTAGTCTTAATGACCTGTTTCTAAAGATTGATGGTATTCAGACCACTAATTTTCTTAAAACTGTCTATTTGGGTATTAAAAAAATATTGTACACGTTATGCATGTAGATGCAAGAACACGTCGTTTCTTAACTAGATTGAAAGATCCTTCCTGAGGAAAAGGGATCTCCAGTCCTTCAGGTAGATTTAGGATTCAGGATTTCAGCTAGAGAAAAGTAGTCTGCTGAGCTGTAACCCTTTTCCACATCTGCATGCCAAGATAAGTATGCATATCTGTGTTTCTGACTGCTTGCATGTATTCTTTGAATTTCAAGTCTCACATGAAAACTTTTTAAAATGTAAGTTCTGCTGTTTAAATCTGTTGTTGTTATATTTCGATCACAATGTCAAAGACTGGAGGTATTTGACATCTGTCCTGATCACCTGCTGTGTCCTGAAAGCTTGTTATGTTGACTGTACGTTTTTTGTTTCTTTGATTTAAAAGTAAAATCCAACACAACGTAGTATTGAGTACTGTACAAAGCAGGATTATAAACTCTGTATGTTGTGTGATTTACTGAGCCTTTCTCTCTTTGTAAAAATAAAACTGTTGCAAGCCAGAAAGTTCCAAAGGTAGAGCCAAGCTTAAACCAAACAAGAGAGTTGGCTTGAATCTCTGCAACAAGCCTTTGCCAAAACAATAGACCTGATTGTACTCATTTACAGACAGAAAAATTCAGAGAAGAGTGTGCACCAGAAGACTTTGTGGCAGGAAATAAGGCCACAGTGCTCTTCTTTGCTTCTCTGTTTGAAAATAGAGCTAAACCAGATCTCGATTCAAACTATAACTGTATTGTTATTCATACTCTGTGTAAGGGAAGAACTAAAGACCACTTTTTCTCTAATTAATCTGCTATAGAGAAATAACGAATTTCCCGCATATTCTCCCTTCACTGTCCGAACTTTGTCCTGTATCAAAAGTTTGCCCAGATCACAAAAAGGCCCTGATTGCCTCTCAGTTTTTCTCAAAATTTTAAAATAAAATTGAAATACTTCCAACATTTTACTTTTTCTTTGATCACTCATAATATATTAATAGAAAAACATTCTGCCATGTAAGTCTTCCAGCAGTAAAATACCAGTTACAAGCTTGAACTTTCAACCTCCGCTTCCAAAAAGGAAGAATGAGCTCTGGGTTTTTGCTCTTTGATACATATTTTTCTAGAGCTAGATTTAAACCAAAATCCTTTTTTCTCTTGTACCTTAATCCACTGAACCTTTTGCAACAGGAAGACTATTGCCTTATACTTATGTCTTGATTTAATGACAATATGATCAGGAGGTGAGACCTCTAATGAGATGAATTCTCTTTTTTTTTTTTTAATAAATTTCCTTCTACCCCAGTAGAGACAAGGTACAAATTACAAGGAGTCTGAGTGAAGAAGAAAAAATAACAATTTTACTAAAAACTGAAACAAACAAATAAATAACAATAGCAGAAAATATTACCTAGCTAGCTTCCTTCCCTCTAGGTTAAACCAAATCCTGGAAGGGTATTTCATGTGAAAGAAATTGCTGTGCCATCAAGTTGATGATGTGGGTTCTGGCATAGCAAACTATATGGAGTGACAGTGGCGGGGCAGGGCTGACCTGGTGCGGTGCTTGGGCCCAGTGATTTTGGGCCATGCGGTGGCAGATTTTTGTGCAGCTCCTGAGAGGGGAATCCCCAAGTTGTCAGCAGTGGCTGGTCGCGCTGGGACAGCTCAGCTGGGGCCAGGCTGCCCTTGGTCTGATGTGAAATACAGTGCAGCTGAGGTTGAAAACACTGCAGCTGAGGCAGAAAACACTGCCCTGAGGCAGGGTGGTCCTTGGGAGAAGGCTCCAAGAGTCCATGGTGCTCCAGCAAGCAAAAACCAGGTACAAAGAGAGCGAGTTCCATTGCAGACCTGCCTTTTTGTCTCCTATCTCCCAAGTTACCAGTTGTTCCTCATGCTTCACTTGAGGGACCCACCTTTCCAAGATGCTGGGGACAGTCCTCCCCAATCCAGCTTAGATGGGGAGCAGCCCCCCACATTCCAGATTATGTGGTGGTATGAAAAAATTCACTGAAAATCCTTCCCATTTAACTAAAGCTACAACTTAGAACTTCTGACTGGAGTTCAACCCTTAAGTTTTAGGCTGCATTAGACTCAAATACAAAGTCAATTAGCTGAAAATTTGCTCACTTGGTACAAAGCAATTTAGATGATGATCTGGGGCTAAGGCCATGGCTTGTATGTGTGGATAGATCATGACAAGAAATGTTTGGAGTGGTATGATTCAAGATTATTCAACATTGAAAGAAAATGGCCAAAACCACATTGCAACAGTGAATGAGAAGTCAGAATTGCTAAACTTGTTAAGCCAAGGGCTTACAAATTACAAATTTCTAGCCAAGATTGTGCTAACTTCCTTTTAGTGGAGACTTGTTTTTTAAGACAAGTTTTATTTTATATCTTAACACTAAAAAAATGATCCTTTAATGTCAGAAAGGGACATGCAGCTTGAATGTCTTTAATATCAAAAGGTGTAACAATCTGCTATTTTAAAAGATGCAGAAAAGTGTTAGAGAATGAAGGTGTAGAAAAAGAAACTTAGGTGATTATTTAAACCTAAGAAGATACATTTTTCCTCAACAGCAGTAAGACTTTCCTAGCTGGGAAGATAAGAAGTCTGTGAATAAGGTTGTCATTAATGACACCTAGTAGGATGAAATTATTTGAGGGCAAACAGAGAATACAGACATCTTATAAGGATATTGTCTAGTTATGTGGTTGTGTATACATCAAAATCCTTTCCTACCAAGACTACAATCAACATTTATGATTCTCTGTTAAAAAAATGTAGTAGTTCTCAAGCAAAGGGTGTAACAAGTGTTCATTTCATCTGGTATTTTATCAGATATCGTCAAGGACCAGATTTTCTTACAACAGTAAGGTGGAGGACTATGGGACCTAAATAATCTGAAGCAGTCATATTACCAACATTTGCTCTGTTTTGTCTCGGGTCTCATGATCTTTAAAGTTTTTCCTAAATCTTAGTTCCTATATTCCTGTAATTATGTGACAAAATTCAGGTTATTGCTAAAGAACCCAGTGAATCTCTAGCTAATGAGGTTACTTGCACAGGAAAACTTGAAATACTATTCTTCAAGGATCAAAAACTGGAAAGGAAATAAAAAGAACTCACGTTTATTTTGCCTGAAGACTCATTTGAAACTCTTCTTGCTCTCTTGAGAACCTGTCTCATATTTTTCAGTGCTAAATGGTAGCAAGTAAGTATATGTGGGTAAGAAGATCCTCACATTCTCAGTTACAAGGGACTTTAGGTAGTATCAGTGGTCTTTGATTTTTATATCAGGTATACTAGGGTCAGGGTTAGGGTTATGTCTTACAAATCTCCCAAAGGATTAAAAAAGGGGCTTTTCTAAGGTCTTCTCAGTAAAATAATAATAATAATAATGGCCAGTCTTCGCGAGCGAAGATCCGGGGAAGGTCTTTCCACCTTCCAGCCTGCGCATTGGATTTTTTAGGTGAGACACAGTGTGCGCGGAACTGAGCCCACCCTTTAATCCTAAGGTTCATCTGCCGGGGCCAAGCGAGCTTGGACGGTGGCAGCGAGGTCCTTAGGACGTAGGTGGGTTGCCTTTAAGGGCTAACGAGCCCCACCTGCCCGGGAGTGGCCCTGACCGGGAATCGAACCCGGGTCTCGGCGGTGATAGCGCGGCGCCTTTACCACTAGACCACCAGGGGCTCACAGTAAAATAATAGTAAGTCCCTAATTACATGACTTATGAAATCTTAGATTAAAGAAATGCAAATATGTGTCAAATTTTTCTTGTTGTTGTTCCAAGTGATTTAAGTCACTGAGGTGAGAGAAAGGCTAGTGAGGAGAGCTTAGATAAAGTTAAATCCTGTAGTTCTTTTTTTTTTCTCTGCAAACAAAGAGGAAAATCTGGCTGAAAGAGAGTGGCTGTATACACACACTTCTCCACAATGTGTGCACAATCAGAATGAGTTCTGGCAAGACCCTCTTTTGCTCAATGACAGGGCTGTGGTACAGTGCATGTGCAGTGCACTTGCTGTTTCCCATTGACACATTGTCTTGATGTTCTTTTGATACTTTTGCAGAAAGAAGAAAGAAAAGTGTAATTATCCAATTGAATTATTTTTAGATGTAGCTATTTCAGTCGCTCTTCTGTGTCTAAACGGAAACTCTCTACATCCAGCAGCTGTGAAGTCCAGCCTGCTGCATGATACTGCAAGTGGCTGTCCTAAATAGACCTTCTAATCTTCTCTTCTTTCTTTTCTGCAGGATTGTCCACCAGAAGCAGGTGATTTCCGTGCCCAACAGTGCTCTGCTCACAACGATGTCAAGTATCAGGGACAGTTTTATGAGTGGCTTCCTGTCTCTAATGACCCTGACAACCCATGCTCGCTGAAGTGCCAGGCCAGAGGAATGGCTCTGGTCGTGGAGCTGGCACCAAAGGTTCTGGATGGGACCCGGTGCTACACTGAATCCCTGGACATGTGCATCAGTGGCTTGTGCCAAGTAAGGAGAGAAACCCTACCCTAACACCTAACTACTTTCCTCAGATCTCTCTCATATGCTCACTCCCTCTCCTCCATATTTGAGGCATTTTAGGGACTTGGTTTTAATAATCTGTTTCCATTCTCTTAAACTGATTTCTTTTACTTTTTTTTTGGTGGAGGTGTTCAAGTCCCAAGATTATTTTCACACTTTATGTTGTTTCCGTAGTGTTCTTTTAAAGGATTGTATTATCAGTTTTTGAACTCTTTTGTATAGTTAGCTGCAGTAGCAGATCTGATTTGAAGCACCAATAGAAAATAATGTAGCTTTTAATCTGGATACACCAAAATTGTCCTAGTCTATCAGATTACATTATCTTTGAGGATTATTGCTCCCTATAAGTCACAAACTACATGGCAGTAGATGGGGTACTAAAATGAAAAAACTACCACTCCTCCTTTAAGACTAAGAAAGCTGCTATCTCCTTGGACCTCAGCATCCCCATTTGTTGGAAGTGGAAGTTGGGGACTTTTTCACCCTGCACTTCAATGCATGGACATCTATTGGTCATTCAACCAATTTGTTCACATCCTAATTTGTTGTAATATTACCTTTGTGCTTTTATTTATATTGCTACTGTTTTGAACCAACCTACATCAGACTTTAGTCTTCTGAAGTGCATGTATGCTACAGGCTGATGCAGGGGAAGGAAGACTTTCAAGCCATGTCTGCTAAGTACTGAACACACCTAAAATCTTGAAAACAATTGAGGTGTAAATTCATGGTTCATTACCCAGTGTCTTTCAAGTCTATGTAGACTTGATGTGTTGTTGGCTTTCTAGTGAATTTTCAGCCACTTCATGTTCCTCTAGAAGCTTTTCTCCCTGTTTCTTTTCTCTCTGAATTTCTGTTCTGAGCCAGAAGCAGTCCTGCAGTAAATGAAACAGAGTACACAGTTACTAGGCTAATCTCATTTGTGATCTGAAGAAGGCAATCACCTAGACCTCTTGAGCTCAGCTGAGTGCACATTTCTCAAAATTCTAGATTGCCTAATTTCAGTCTTATTTTGAGCTTTTAAATATTTTAAAAACTTAACTGGAAGCATAGGAATCTGGATGGGAAAAAGACTCAAAGTTTTGTGCATATAGTGGCCTAGAAATTAGGAATAGAGAATTTGACCTCTGTCAGGCTGATTTCTGTTTTGGTCCAAATATGAAGCATACTTTTTTCAAGAAAACCTTCCTCTAGAAACAGAGTTCATAATCATCCACTACTGGAACAAACTCATTTGATTTCCCTAACAATTCTTCTTGGAAGGTTGAAAGCAGCTGCACTATTATAACTGATGTTGTTTCTTAATTGTCTCTGTGGCTGGAGAACAGAAAAATATATATTAGCACTAGTGTCCCTGAAGAATTTCACTTAAAGGAACCCTTCCATTATATACCATAAAATGGTAGAATAATTTTAATACATAAAGACAACTATATATTTTCCACGTTCTTCAGCATTCAGTTTCTTTATCAACTTTTGACATATATTTACAATTACTGCATCATTTTTTAGGATGACTCAAACAAACTAAAATGTAAATGCTCATGCTGTATTCCTCACAATGAAAAGTTTTGTATTTTGGTGCAAGTTTTAAGGGCAAGTGCCAGATTCTGCACCTGAGATGGGGCAACCCAGGATGTTGTCGTGGTTCTGCTCTGGGTCAATTTTGCTCACACCACCTCCCACCCCCACAATTACTATTAGTTGAGAGAAGGTTTATGCAGACAAAAGAGACCTGATTGGGGAAAAATAATATTAACATTTATTACTAGCAAAATAAAACTAAAGAACTACATCTACAATAATTCTATTTAGGTTAAAGGTATTATGTATTTACAGAAATACCTCTCCCTCCTTTTATCAGTCCAAGGAGGAGAAGCAGTCGCATTCTCTATTCTTGGAGCTCCAGGTCTTTTCAATAACTTTGCAGCACCCTAAAGCTCTTCTCCTGTTATCTCAGGATGACAATTCCTTTTTGTCGCAGCTGGAACTCTTTTTCTCTCTTTCTTCTGTGTCAGCCTCAGGCAAGGCTAGGCCTACCCCCCTCCTGGGCTAAGACTGGAGGCTGGGGGGTTACTCAGGTCCTGAAGGTCTTCTCTTCCATGGATTGCAAGGGGACACTTGCCTACCGTGGATCTTCACCACAGAGTCACAGGGGATAATGGCTTTTGAGTCCACCCCTGTTTCTTGTGGAGGCCCCTCGCCATGAGAGAACAGTCCTTGATAGACTTCTCCGACATGGGTCTAGTATGGATCCCTCACATGGATCCCAAGCTTACCCGAACCGTTCTCGCTCCAGCATAAGTCTCGTCTCTCTCAGAGTCACAAATCTTCAACAGCAGCATGGATCCCACACGTGGATCCCAACATCCCACCTGGGCCGTCTCGCTCCAGTGTAGGTTTTCCTCAGGGTCACAAAATCTTCAACAGGACTCTGCTTCACCTCAGGTCTCTCATGAAGTCTCGGCTTCCTCATGCATCAACTTATTCCAGTGTAGGCTCTTCCACAAGCAGCATGGGGGTCTTCTCACCCCAACAAAATTCCAAAGGTAGGAGGGATTTATTTTTCAGTCTTTTCCCTGATGAAGGGAGAGAGCGAAAGGGGGGGAGAAACAGCCCTCCCCCCCCGCCCCGCTTTGAACTTCTCTGTCCTCCGGCTGCCAGCTTTGGCCTTGAACACTTCATTATCTCTCTACTGGAATTCTTCTGCAGCGGTTTCTCGTTGAAACAGTCAGTTCTTCTCTAAAGTTTTTTTTCTCTACTCCTTTATAGGAGAGAAGGGGGGCTTCAGTGCTACACTGCCTCCCACCCAGGGCTGGGGGAGGAGGGAGGCCTGGCCCCCACCTGGGGCCTACCACCTCTCCTACATGGCTACTGCTACTATTTCAACTGCGCCACAACCTTCTCTTCCGTTTTCCTAAATATGTAATTGGCAAAGGCATTACTGGAACTTTTTGATTGAATTTTACTCCAGAAATCTACCTGGACAAAACCATCCTCAGCCCCAGGGGCTGGCTGGTGGGCAAAACCACGACAGATGTACGTACAGACTGGGGAATGAGAGACTGGAAAGCAACGCTGTGGAAAAGGACCTGGGGATCCTGGTCAACGGCAAGTTGAATATGAGTCATTGTGCCCTGGCAGCCAGGAGAGCCAACAATACCCTGGGGGCATCAGGCAAAGCATCCCCAGCCTGTTGAGGGAGGGGATTGTCCCACTCTGCTCTGCACTGGTGCTGCCTCAGTACAGGCATTGAATATTGTGTGCAGTTTTGGCACCAAAATGTAAGAAAGATATTAAGTTCTTAGTGTCTGAAGGAGGCCAACAAAGGTGAAGAGCCTTGAGGGGAAGCCGTATGAGGAGAGACTGAGGTCACTTGGTCTGTTCAGCCTGGAGGAGACTGAGGGGAGATATCACTGCAGTCACAAGTTCCTTCTGAGGGGAAACAGAGGGGCAGGCACTGATCTCTTCTGTGTGGTGACCAGTGACAGAACACAAGGAAACAGCATGAAGCTGAGTTGAGGAGGTTTAGGTTGGATATCAAGAAAAAGTTGTTCACCCAGGCTGTGGCTGAGCATTTGAGCAAACTCCCCAAGGGAAGTGCCCACAGCACCAAGTCTGACAAAGTTTAAGATGCTTTTGAACAACGCTCTCAGGCACGTGGTGTGAATCTTGCGATGTCCTGCACAGGGTCAGCAGTTGGGCTCGATGATCCTTGTGAGTCTCTTCCAACTCAGCAAATTCTATGATTCTATGATAAAAGCTTATTTACGGTAATTGCACTACGTTGAAGATAAAGAGATGTATTTTCTGAATTGCTCAGAGGAAAACTACTGAAAGCATCTTTAAGTTTACCATCCTATTGGCTTACATTGATTCAAGTGTTACGGCAACAAAGAAGGAATTGAATGTTGTCCAGATAGAGCATTTTATGAAACATATGTCTATTCAGTTACAGTCTATACAGGAATTAATAAGACTTAAGATCAGTGTAGGGTTATGTAGACATAGAGCATTTTTCCCAGTGGTTCAAACAACAGTGTGAATTTTCTTAACTAACCACAGGGATACAGTATGCAAGATTTGGGTCAGCCCATGGCCTATTGTGTTCTCACAAGCTGTTCTTCAGGTTATTAATGGTGGAAATGAAGGGTTAGTTGTATTGCCTTCTGTGTGCCTTGGTACTCACTCCTGATTTAAAAGTGATAGTTTTCACTCTCATTGCTAAGTATGCATTTGTTAAAGAAGTACAGTATTTGGAAATTAGAAGATCCTTCTCTCATATTTATCCCTTCATTTTTCATGTTGTTTTGAGGTTTAGAATTACCAGGACTTTAGTGACATATTTGTGAGTTTTTGTTTAATTATTACTTTTTGAGCTGAAGACTTTGTTTTGCATTCTGGCCACCTATTAGTTAAAGTCAGAAGAGACTTCTGATTGTAAGCAGGGCAAGCAAAGCCAATTTTGTGGGCAGAATAAGCTGTATCCCTGAATCTTTCATTCAGTGAAGAGTATGGTTCGAGATTCTTAAAAAGATGTTTAACTTTTATTTACAGAAATAGCGTATTGGAGAAGTTATGCAGTAGCTTATTCAGATATACTTCATGGCATAGGGCAGCACACATGATTGTGATAGTTCAGGAATCATGCAAACTGCATGCATCTTGCCTCTCTCTATAGTATATAAACATAAATTTCTCTTCCATGAAGAGATGGTTAATATTTTACCTTTGTTCTTTGTGTTAAACACCTAAAAAATTAATGGAAATTAACTTCTAAGCATAACTTTTTCTTTCTGTAGTTTTACTCTTAAAACCGTAGTGACATAGGCTGAACAACGGATTTTTTTAAAAAAAACTTTGTATGTAATGTCTTTTGCTTCCTTCTAATTGTATTGTTCCTCCTAAATATTTTAAATTTCTTTCTGTATGGTATCTATGTTATTTGGGTCCCTTCTCCTTCTTCC